ATTTTTGGAATTTGTAATTGTAGACTACGTTTATTAGCCTATGATGCTAGATAGATTTGGATTTTATTGAATATGTGCCATGTCATATGCGTGTAAAGTAATGAGTCACATTTTTTTGGCTATGCTCTCACAGCCCTATGTAAAATAGATAAAATCTTTATAAGTAAAAGCAAATCTAAATGGTAGTTTAATATATACTTTATAATGCCTTCAATTACAAGCGGCAATAACTACAATACTTGTGCTCAAAGTTTGATTCATGCCCAAAATAAAACGGAACTTCTCATATTGTTTACTTGGAAAGGAAGGATATATTAATTGTGTACACAAGTTTCCTCCAACAAACATTCTAGCAAATCTTTACTAGAATGTCCAAAATAGTAAGATCTATTAAACATATTTGGTCTAATATTTAAATTTGATAATTCATTCACTTTCAATATAATAAAAAAAATATATTAAACAACATTCTAAAAAAAGTTAAGTTTTGAAAAATGGAGGGAATATTGGGATAAAAACCGCTCGATCTCCTACCATACCCACTTATCACTACGATTAAATTTTTTTTATATATATAAAAATAAAAATAAAAATCTTAGTGAAAGTGAAACTCTCTTATAATATTTTCCAAAATTTTTGACATACCGTTGCTGTTATTATTAATGGACCATTAAGCCATTAAAGATTTTTGTGTTAAATAACAAATTACCGTTCTCTGAAACAAAATGCCACAACTACCCCTACTTATCATTCTAAAATGACTATTATACCCATAATCACTCACCCTCCTCTTCCTAATTTTCCTAGTATATATTCATTTCTCAATGAACAAACTCTCCAGTCCAGTGGGTTTTATTTACAGTATACAGATTTTTCACCGAATTCAATCGGTATCAATCAATTCTGCATAAAATTATTGATTTAGCCCCAAATTTGTTTAATTATTGGAGATGAATAATTTTTCACCACCCGTATCTCTAAAGTACAAAAATATCACAGTTCATTATAAAAATAATGACGTGACACATTTAAAAGTGTTAAGATGGAGTATTGGAGACGGTTGTTAAAAAAAATAATAGAAGATCCAAATCCGTTTTACCTTTAGGGTTTCAATTGATTTTGTAGTGGAGAGTTCTATTATTTAAATTTGTTATGCCTAAATAAATTGTTTTGGTTTAGCAATTAATATATATATCTATATACCCTATAACAGTGTATTCAATTTTGATTTTTTATATACATTTTAAATAATATCTTTAATTTACAAAAATATTATACCGACGTTATTGTTTTCAAAGAGTTGCAATATTTCTCTTTTTTTTTGCAAAGTTTTCTTGTCTTAAAAGGAGTTTCTCTCAATTAAATATCAAATCGACACAACCTTTTTTTTTTTTCTTTTTTTCTTTTTTTTTACATCTATTCGGTTGGATTTTGATATCTAAACACACACGTCGGTTCAAGATTATATAATGGGCGGTTAACATTCAAATTTCTCTCTGTCATTATATCTCTCTGGCTCTTTTCTACAAATTGTTAACAAAAAATTTCTTCTATGTTCTATTGCAACTTCAAATATTTCCAAGAAAATTCATATTTGATTGAAGCACATGACTCAAGCTTTATTTTTATTGAAGGTATGTTTCAATTTGAATTTCGGGACAAATTTGATCAAATTTAATCAACACTTGTTCATTTTTTGAAGATAAGTTTTAATTTGAATTCTATACCAACCAATTTCTAACCTTTTTGATAAAAAAAACCATACAACTTTTGTTTTTACTTTTAGCCTATGATTTCATCTGTTTTAGGTTGCACCATTGAGAGGTAATAGTTCTATTGTTTTTCAACATTGTTTCTTGTTTTGCATATATCGAGCCAAATTTAACATCCAAGTCTTTTTACATTTTTTCTTTAGAATTAAAAAAATAATTATTATTATTTTAGATGCAGAAATTAGAATATCGTGTCAAAACTACGACGGTAATCATCCACTGCATCTATCAAGTACGTATTATTTTTCAGTCTGAGTCTTAAAATTTTGGTTTAAAAATTTTAACCCTTTAATACAATACTTGAAACATCGTGTCTTCTATATGTGTGATTTAGTGAAACTAAAACACCAGTTATAATATAATTATAAAAGTTATATCCTTTGGTTAGAACTCATTTAACCTTGATTATAAGAGACGTCACTTTTCTGATATATCAAAGCTTTATAAATAAGTTAGCAAGTTAGGACAGTGCTTGGAAAGAAATAAACAAGATAATGATTGAATATGTTTAGAGAGAACAAGCAATTAGAACGGCGAGAGTGGAGAAGGTTTTCTCTCTATGGTTGGGATGTAAAATCTATATGGATCAATTTCGTGCCAGTTCTTATAACCGAAGCTTGGCAAGGCTTTCCTTTCAAAAGGAGATATGAAATTAATATTGATGTTATTTAGTGAGTTAATGGTAAAGGATTCACATAGTTCCATGCCTTTCTGACTTTTTAGTATTTTTAATTCAACCGTAACAAAATTTAAAATTAGTATTATTATTATTATTTATTCAAAATGAAAACAGTTTTAACAGACGTGACTTTCTACTATTTTTCAACATATTCCTGTCCCTAACATTAATTATTAAAATTAGAGAAATAAAATTCAAAATTACCTTAAAAGTAATTTACTCCAAAACAAATATTGTTCTATTCAAAATTTAAGTCAAATTAAATAACTAAATGGAATAGAGTTCCAAAATAAAAACAATAAAGCACCTATGAAATAAAATATGATAGAATAAACATGCTAGAAACAAATTTTCAGAATATGTTTGTCATTAGAAAACTCAGATCTAAACACACACAAGGACATCGCCTAGAGCAATTTCTACCGTTAATTCGGAGTTGACACAAGGTATCGGTGATATGTAGGAGTCCTTATATGAGTATAATTATTCAACGCCATTGTTGTATTTCAGCATAACATCATTCATTGATTGTGTTCAAACTCATCTAAATAAGTCACCATTTTCCATCTCATAGTATCCGTCATTTTTTTTTTCTTTCTCAGAAACTCCTAAATTCAATTGAGCCTACTATTCTAAATTTTACCACTATACAAACCTACAGTCATAAAACTATAAAAAAAATATATATATATTTCATTCAATTCTTTTACTGCGAAAAAAAATTTGTATAGAGAAGAATCTTTGGAAAGAAAAAAACATAGGAGGTATACAGAGAGGGTTTAAAAAGTCGTAGGTAGTTGGATTCAAAGCCTTATTGTAATGTCCTGTGGTTTATGAAAACATTAACATATAACTTTTCAATGAAAAACAACATACATTCAAATCTGTTAAAGAAAAAAAAAATCTTTTGAATTTTATTACCGTTAGATTGAAAACACTAAAAGAAATTTATTTTAAAAAATATTTGAAATTTTATTATTATCCTTTTTCAAATGTATTTTAGAAAAGTTATATACTAATACAAATTTCTTGAAAAGTCTTATTGTGTTTTTTATTTATTTCAGACACCTTTATTTAAAAATTTATTACAATTCTATAAGTTCGGCCTTTTTAGATACATGGTTAGTAAAAGTAAACCTACATATGTTGACGTACCTTTTTTTTTTTTTTTTTTTTTTTCCAAATATGTTGACATGATCAAAGAAAACATTACTGTAACTTTTAGTATTTGTTTTAGTTTAAAGTTATATTTACTAAAACAATTTTTAGAAAGGAAAAGTAGAATTTATATATATAGATATGTATGTATGTATGTATGTATATACTCTATTTGAATAATAAAATTAAAATATTCACAAGCATTTCTCCTCACTTGCAATGCACGTTCATTTTTCTAGTATATATATATATAATTTTTATGGCAAGAATGTTACATTAGAAGTTAATGGGTGCGAATGTTTGAAGTTGGACTCATAAGACAACGGGGAGCAACCCAACGCTACGAAGGCATTCACAATTTAACAGTTACTATATGCATGGCATTTGTCTATAATAACGTTGACTATGGGCTATGGAGTACAGACACAGATACGGGATACGAACACAGATACGGGATACGGACACGATACGACACAGATACGTCAACACGTCAAATTTTTAAAAAGTAAGATATGAGAACGGCGTGGACACATCTATTCAGTAATAGTATTATAAATTTTTAATTGATCTATAATTTTTATACTAAGAATGGTTCTGAAATGAATTAGAAAATGAAATTATATTATTGTCGTAATAATTTTTATATCATATATACCATTATTTTATTACTTTGTCATGATAATATTCATATTATTTTCAAGATTATTGGGTAGACTTGTGTTAGAGATGTCCGAAAAATGTTAGAAAAGTGTCGGTAAAGCGTCCGAAAAATGTCAGCCAAGTGTCTGAAATAATAAAATTAATTTTTATTTATGGAAACGTATATGAAATGTCGGACACGTATTCGAGGAGTGTCCGAGTAGTGTAGGTATTCGACACCGATATGATACGGGTACGACTCCTTCGTAATTCGTAAAAGTGACCGTACTTCTTAGATTATGAATCTTAATCATGGTGTTAGATTTTTATTTTCTTAAAAAAAACAAATTAAATAATTTGAAGGTAAAATTGTCTATCTACATAAATAATTTAACACTCGCTGTTTTATGGACAAACTCTTAGGATAGCTGTCAAAGTTATTATACAAGTTTAATAATAAGTTAAAACTTAAGAGAATATTATAGTAAATTTGTATTACATACTTCTAATAACCGTCCCTCTCTCTTCACTATATAATTGAGAAATAGAGCTACTCAATCATTTTTCAGGAATGATAATATAATATAAGAGCTTTAAGTTTTAACGGTTTTACCGTTCATAACGGTCATTATCTCCAAATTCTGTTACATACTATAAACCTCGATCTTCGCGGCTCTCTCGCTCTTGCGCGCGCATTTCCACCCGAAAATAGACACCATCTCCCCCCCCCCCCCCCCCCCCCCCCCCCCCCTCCCCCTATCTTTCTCAAACCCTAGCCCTTCCATTAATCTTAACCTTTGGGTGGACGACTATTTGGTGGCAACACAAACCCTAGCTATTCCATTAATCTTTTGTTCTTTCAGTTGATAATTGTTGGAAAATTTAAATCCAATTGAAGAATTTCACTGTAAGTTTATCCATTTTATTTACTTTGATCTTCATTAGGTTTTGATGCATTTCAATGAAAATTTGGATTTGCCACAGAAAAATTTACAAATTAGTTTTGTTTTAGTTTTAATTGTGTCACTGCAAAAAAAAAAAAAAATATGGCTACCATAATCGCAAAGAAATAATTTCATTGTAAGAAAACCTTAAATTAACCCCCTTTAATTCGATTGGGTCTTGGGTCCTATATGAAGACATCAAATTGCATATGAATATAATTCTTCTAACCTCTTCTATCCTTCTTTGATTCCTTAGAATTTGTTTCATCTTTTATTTGCTTTTCAGTCTCTCTGGTCTGTTTCTTTTCTTTTTCTGAAATGTTTCTCGTGTTTTCTATGTCTGCACTTGACTATGTCTCTGATGAACATTTATGTTTGAACTTTAGTCATCAATGGCAAGTATAAAGAATATGTAAATCCATCCAAGGAAAGATGAAACAAGACGAATATGGTTCCTGACATATATAAGAGACTTCAAGATTAGATTATGATTCGGATTGGCCAAATAATAATATTATTGCAGAGTTAATTATGTACAAGAAGATGGAATCTAAAGACTAAATGCCCACATTGATAATGATAAAAGATTGTTGAAAATGGTTTTGGCATTTTTTTGTGAATTTTATATTAGTTCTCATTGATACAATGTCGTGAAATATTTCTTCTTTCCCAAATTATATTAGGCCTTAATCAATGTGTCTATAATTCCTAGAGATTTCAGAATTTCTGTGTTGCATCTCTCTCTCTTTCTTGGCAACCCATGTTCCTGAATTTTTCTTTGAGTCTCATTTATCGATTTCCTTAACAATGTCGACATTGCCATTTTTACAATTCTGATCATCTGCTCAAGTCTACCCGACCCCCACCAAACTGCCTGCAGCTGCTACTATTGCTCCACCTCAGAAGCATGCTACCAGTACCTTTATTGATGGCACTTCACTATGAACCCTTAAGTTCCAATATTGCGACATTTACTGCAGTCAGGACTCCAATGCCACTGTGACCTTGCCATCAGACCAACACTTAATATTACTAACTCATCCACCCTCCCTACCCCAATCCCCGGGTGGTACATCATCGTCACCTTTGTCTATACATGTTTCTGCTGTCACCTACAAGTTTTTATTGCACTATCTGACATGTTTCAGTTTGTGATGCAGGGGATTCCATTAAAATGATATTCATTGTTTCCAAATACTGGTTGAAGTGTTTATCTGGGTTGCACTTTGCATTCTCTGGTAAACGCTAACATTTGGATAATCTCAAGGTGATCCATGTAATTAGTCATACAAAATGTTTGATCGTGGTCACAAGACACAGTTTATTGGCGGCCATCGAGAGAAATTTGTAAGGTACGAAAATTACAATGTATTTGTTGAAATAGATAAGTTACAAAGTTACATTTTTGCCAATGTTATATAAGCCACAACATTCTATATCAACTTAATTTTTTTAGAGGAATTAGTTGTTAACATGGCATCAGAGCCAAAAGGTCCTCTGTTTAAACCACAGTGCATACTCATGACTTCTTAACCATGTAGACGCGTTTGTCCACACATATAAGTCTCAACAACTTCTTCCCTCTAGGCAATGTGGGACGTCACAATATCGCTGAAAACTAAATGTAAGAACAAGCTTTTCTTGACATAAAAAGTTTATTGTATGGGTCGTGCCTAATACGAGGAGATTTGCATACAAGAACAAGAAGAAAAAATAGTGGAAGGAAGAGAATACCCAGAGGGAATTGATGCAGGAGTATGCCACTAAAAGAAATGAGGCTAAGGCTCATTTAGGTGGGAAAGCATTTCTGGAGCGCTACCAGAGGATGAAGGGAAGGCAAATATAAAATTTAAGAAAAAAATATATATATCACTTCTTCTCTTTAATTGCTGTCAATTGGTCACTATGTGGTTCCACCCATAATGGGTTTGTGACTTTCTGGGTTAGATTTGTCTTATATTAGGAACTTCTAATAATGTAGCATCCTTTCACAACTTCAAAATTTTGATTTCCTAGTGCATGAGAAGAACCCTTGTTGCTTCATGACTTATGGTGGCATTCAGACAGTGGGTTTCCCTCATATCTAGACTTCAGTACCAGTCACCATATCTATATCTTAAAAGATTCCCTGAAGCTACTTATACAGCGCTATCGAGTCTGAGGCAAGAAATATGGGCTTGATGTATTTTATTTTATTTTTTGCATGATTTTTTTTATTTATAAACTTTCAATAATTTTTTACGTTTTATGGTTGCTTGATTGCTTGAGAAATGTTAGTTGAATATTCTGTAGGCCCTTTTGTTGAGATATATCTGGTTGTTTTGATTATAGTGGGTTTTTGAATATTAATTGCTAATTTTTGGTTTTCTCCAAACTTGTACTTTTCTTTTATTATCCTACCGTATTAGTTTGAGATACTTTGCAGACTTCATTATTGATTAAAACATGAGACAACACTTTCTTTATGTGTTTTCATGTTTGTACCTAGTTTGTAGATATCAAACAAGTGGGTCTAACTACTATTTGTAATTGAGGTTTGTTAAACACATGTAAAGTACAGAATAAAACAGAAGAGTAAGAGTACTGTGAACACATGGAAAATGCTTTATTTGACTATAATTGTATAATCTCTGTAGGGCTATTCAATAAGAGATGCGCAAATAAATTTAAATGTTATTTTAGTGCAATATATATGTGTGATTGATTTCTAAGATACCTGCTTCCACATCTTGAAATTCAGACTTGAATCTGCACCTTGTTTTTTGGGAATTAAGAGGAGGTACCATCCAAGCTAACTACTGGTGATAATTATCATTTTAATGATATGTTGTCAATTAGATTGCAAATTTTTTCACTTTTCTTTGTTCAACTGATAAGAACTTTAAAGAATGACTGACTAGAAGTGTTGTATACTAACCTTTTTCAATTTCAGCATTAGGGTTTTGGTAAATTTGGCATCTAATTCTGTGTTTCACTTGTTTGTACTTTAGGTTGGATGACTTGAACTCTATATCATCATTTAAGTCTGATACAGAAGGAATGAAAAGGTGTGGATTTAGCATAGAGGGATTGACCTCTGCAGGTCGTTCAAACAATAACACGTCAAAGTCTTTTAGCATAGGAATGAAAAGAGGATCTGAAGGAATTAAGACACTTGGTCGATCTTTAAAAACTGGAGTCACTCGGGCAGTATTCCCCGAAGATCTTAAAGTGGCTGACAGAAAGATATTTGATCCTCAAGACAAGTCTCTCGTATTGCTGAATAAGCTTTTGGTCATATCATGTACTCTTGGAGTGTCTGTGGATCCTTTATTTTTTTATCTTCCAGTTTTCGACGATGATTCATCTTGCCTTGGTTTACATAGAAGTTTAGCACACATAGCTACCACTTTACGGACAATAATTGATGCTTTCTACATTATACGCGTGGTTCTCCAGTTCCGTACAGCTTATATTGCACCATCATCTCGGGTTTTTGGACGAGGTGAACTTGTGATAGATCCTACACAAATAGCTAAGCGATATTTAAGTCGTTATTTCATCATTGATATTCTTTCTGTGCTACCTTTACCACAGGTTTGAAGTTTTACTCTTCTATTGTTTAATTACTACACACCATGCACACACATATTCTTATTAGCGTTTTATTGTCTTGAAATCAATGCACATGTGTATAGTATAACACATTTATTTACATTTACATCTACATATTCCCCAAGAGCTTGCTATTCCTGCACCTTCAATAATTTTTTACGGGGCCATTATTGTCTTAGATACTTCTCCCATGCCATCATGCTTGCCTTATGATATATTAATTGGATTTCTGTAGTTACCTGCTCCAACTCATGCTTGCCATGTGATATATGGATTGGGTTATTTCAGTTACCTGGTCTAACTTTCTTTTTCCCCATTGAACTTATCTACATCTCCAATTTGAAGCAAAATTAATATTTGACATGTAAATGGCCATGAGAGTTTCATGTCATCTAGTGGTGTAGAAGTAGCAAGCCTTAAATTTGATCCTGATTCATATGATCCTCTCCACACACATTGATATGTATATCATTCTCATTAGACATCCTTTATAATTTGTTGATGGAACAGTGGTGTGCTTGAATATGCCTTCTTCTTTGCAGCATTTTGTTCCTTGAAATCTAGTGGTATAATTATATTGTTATTGAATAATATTTCATCTTGAACTAATTACTTCTCCTGTGTTTTTTACATGTGCTTTTTGCATATAGAATTATTAGTCTCACCTGATGGGAAACTTAAATAACCTTTATAGATGTACTTCCCTCTATTAGGCAAATTATTAAACCAAAATTCAGAATGGTGATTTTCATATGAATTCTCTCTATGTACATTGTGCTGGCATATATATATACACACATCTTTTTTATTTATTTTTAAAAATTGTTTGAAAGAAAGGCTTTCTCAGCATGCTATTATGGCTATTGGAGTAACATAATTTAATACAAATGTTTGTGTTATAGTAGTGACTATCTCTATGAGTGTTAAATGGTAGATTGATTCATTTCATGATATATGTGTCAAATGAGCTCATCTAGTTATATATGTCTTGGGAGGAGTTGCCACTGGCGGTAAGGCATGACTGAAAATTGATAATCTCAGTAAAATCAATTTGTATATTGAATGTTAAAGGGTGTTATATAAAATATTAAAATGAGAAGAGTTTTTGTACTATTTTACTCTCACTTAATTTAGATAATGATTTCCTTTGATTCCCTCACATTCTTGGGCTCATAAACCTATATCCTTTTGTATTATGGAGAAATTTAGAGTGAATCATTGGATATGAATTTGATATGATTGACGAATTAATTTATATATTATATACATAATAAATGTACTATGTGAAAGATGTAAATATATTTAATATAGTTAATAATTTAACAACACTTAGGTTGAATTACACTGACCTCCCAGAGATTTGGAGTAATTACACATGTGCACCAAGATTTTTACTATAACCTTCCCAATTAGTGGTAGTCAAGAAATAGACATCAACTATACTTATATCCTTCGTTGATTTAGCAATATTTTATTGACAATTTATTTTCAAGTGAAAAATTCAATTATTTATCCCCAATTAGTTAAATATTTTTTAAATGAAAATGTCAAATGTCAACTTATATAAAAGATCATTATGCTCTATAGTCTATCTCATGATCAGCTTTTTCTCTCTCTGTTTATCCTTTGCAACATAAAACATTTTCACTCTTTTCAACCACTAGTTGCAACCACCAACATGCCATTAAAAGGAAATTCTAAATTTCATGATATATAATTTTTCTTCTATCTATTTGTTTTAGATCACATCTCATATATATATATATGATGATTTATTAGAAGAAACATTTGAGAATTACCTCACTTAGAAGCCCAATCATTTTACCTCCTATGTGATTCATGAAGCTCTCATTTGAATTTTCTCATAACATAGCTTCACAAACAGGGAACAAGTGTGGATTCCATATTGAAGATCAATACATAGTTATATACCTTATACGATATTCATGCAACCCAATCATGCCCGTATATAGCTCATAATTGAGCATAACCAGTTAGCAATGTCAAAGTTCAACATGACATCATAGAGGTCGTGCAATCTTCTTAGGTTTAAAGACTAATTCACAAGTACCTCTTTATTTTCAGAGAAGTTGTTCTAGATCCAGTTTGATACATATATTTCCTTACATATATATCCATATATCCACCTATAAATATTCTATTTCAATGGTTAAGACACACTATTACGTAAATGTACTAGCATGATATATTAGTCTCCAAGTGAAGTGGTCAACACTTTAGAACATAATAAGGTTTGAAAGGAACCATAAATAATTTGTCTTATCCTTATGATTTTATATTTATAACTAAGGTTTTCCTTCAACTCAACTTTATGGCACAATTGATATAATACCTATAAAATATACACATGTACGAAGGCAATGTAATAATTAAATAAGCTATAAATCAAATGAATATTAGCTTTTGAGGTCATGTATGTTTAACAGCCACCACCAGTCAGCATCTTGCCGCCACCAGCTTCATCATCATCTCCTCTTTTTTTTCATCCTCTAACCCACTGTAGCTTCCTTGCTTGGATTAAAATGAAAAACAATAACACTTGTAGCCATGACTTTCTCTCTCTACTTTTTTCCACCTCTCACCCCATAATTTTCATTTTTGTCCCAAAAAATTTCCTTCCGATAAACCAATTTCCATCTTTAGCACAATTCTTTATGTGAATTTAACTCTTTCTCTCTCTCTCTCACAAATTTTCCTTCGATAGGATTGTTAAACCCAAATGCGACAATGTAGGGTTCTAGATGCTACTATAAGGGTGTAATATGTGGGTTTGGAGGTTACTAAAATGTGTGTCCATAGATGTTGGGGAAACATGTACTTGGGTGAGAGATCTCAAAAATAAGTTTGAAGACAATTCGGATAAGTGGCCATGGTTGGAGATCTTGAATTGAAATTCAACAAAATGAGAGATGGACTAGAACAAGTGAGATAGGTCTTCACAATGCCAGAAGTGGAAGGATGGTTCTGTTGGAGTTTTATTGTAGAGGGTTAAGGTTTTCTTGCATGCATGTGTATGGGTGGGTGGGTTTGGGGGGGGGGGGGGGGGGGGAGTGTAAGTGTGTGTGTGTTCATGATGATAACTCTTCATTTCAAATATTTTGCAAAAGTTTCCATCAATTTGAAAATTTTATAATTATTAAATACTATTTATATAATAAGCTACGTAATTTACATGTGTTGCTATTTAACATATACTTTTAGAATGTCTAACATATATTCACATGTATCTAATTTACAAAATTTGAAAAACTTGCATTATGTATTAAGTATTACATATTTTATATAATATATAATTGTTGGGCAACAGAAGTGCGCGAATAAGAAAGATTCAAAGAAAGCCAATAAAGCAATCACACACAAACACAAGATATACATGGTTTATCCAAAACCGGCCTACGTCCATGGATGAGAAGAGATTCCACTATAATTCGTAGAGATATTACAACAATAGAGTACCAACACCATAACTCCACGAGTCTATTTCCTCGCTACCAGCATCAACGGTGTTTTTCTTACTCTACCTCCACATATTACCTCTACCCATCAACTCCCTCATGAGACTACATTTCTCTCAATCTCATAAGTCTTAACCCACAATATATGTACCTATTTATAAAGTTACAAACATAATTCTTTGTTAGACAAGGATTACAATTCCTTAGGGGCCAAAACTTGCCAAATAAGAAATTACCTAATAGAATACAACTCCAAAATACAATCCTAATAGGAATTTGAGACACAATTTCCAACAATCTCCACCTTAGCTCAAATTCTATCAAGCCAATCATCGTTTTCCATGGCATTGATTAAGACAATTCTTTTGCAACTTCAATCTTGATGATACTCCTGCAAAACTCCAATTGTCCACATTATATGTTGCTCGATTAGTAAAACCTCCAAACCTCCACCTTGACCACTCGAGCTCCATGCCATGTAACCAAGCCGATTGACTCCACCTATAATTGAAGACTATTGCAGCACATATTGAGACTTCTTGTGTTTTCTGGATCTTTATCACCTTTGGCTCTGGTACCAATTTGTTAGGCAGCGGAAGCGCGCGAATAAGAAAGATTCAAAGAAAGCCAACAAAGCAATCACACACAAACACAAGATATACATGGTTCAGCCAAAACCAGCCTATGTCCATGGATGAGAAGAGATTCCACTATGATTTGTAGAGATATTACAACAATAGAGTACCAACACCACAACTTCACCAGTCTATTTCCTCGCTACCAGCATCACCGGTGTTTTTCCTACTTTACCCCAGCATATTACCTCTACCCATCAACTCGTTCGTGACACTACATCTCTCTCAATCTCATAAATCTCAATCCACAACATATGTACCTATTTATAGAGTTACAAACATAATTCTTCGTTGGACAAGGATTACAATTCCTTAGAGGCCAAGACTTGCCAAATAAGAAATTACCTAATAGAATCCAACTCTAAAATAGAATCCTAATTAGAATAGGAATTTGAGACACAATTTCCAGTAATAATTTATATATTAATACATATAGAAACATTTAAAAAAAAAATTAAATTACAATTAAATTCATTAAATTAAAGTTATTGTAAATTAGAGATAAATGAGGGTAGAGTCGTAATTTACAAAGTAGTTTTAGTTTATTTAAGTCTTTTTAGACAAATATGCTATTCCAGAATAAATTTAATAGTCACAATGGCTAGGTAATTGCAACAGAAATTGGAAATCAAAAGCCTAACTTCAAGGAAGGCATTAGTAATTTTGGCTAATCTTAACATGCGTGTACAGTTACTCTAAACCTTCTGATAAGTATATGTAATTTACCCTAACAGTTTTCACACTATCCAGTTTGTTGTACAAATTAATAAGATTTAACTTCCCTCCTCTAAGGAATTGTTTGCACCCAAGAGGAGTCGAACCTTAGACCTAGTGCTTCCAAAGGCACTAGGGTAAGTGACTTACCTACTTG